TTTTTTTTTTTTTTTTTTTTTTTTTTTTTTTTTAAACAAATTTATTAAACATTTGCAGTTCCGTTCAAAAAGAAATTAAAATATTTATTTGTTAAAGAATAGAACTTATAAAATAAACGTTCCTATCAACTATAAAGGCAGCACAGTATATATATATATATATATATATATATATATATATATACAATGTTAAGATACACATCATAAGGATAACTCACCTTATCCACTTGCGCTAAAATGCCTTCTTGACTGCTTTGACGAGTAGTTTCGCGTACTAAGTCTTTTGCATGTGAGGCAATATTCTCGAATAATGAGCTTTGAGAGCTTTGTCGCCCGGGGCTACTGGAGCTGGATCCCGAACTACCAGTACGTGCCAGGATATTGGTGACACCCGGCTGTTTATTTGCAGTTATTGCGATCTGCAGATTTTTTTTTTTTTTTTTTCAAGATTTGATATCAATTTTAATTAATTTTAATGAAAATTCCTATTACCTTTTTATCGGCAACTGCTCGCTCCAAGTCATTAACATTTTTCGATTTTTTTGCACTGGTCGCAGTTTTAACAGTTATATTTGAATTGGTTTCAGATTCTTGCTCTATACTAGCTGCCTTGATTGTGGCTTCTAAGCGTTGGGCTACCGGCGTAGCCAGTTCAAATGATTTTGAAGGAAATTCAAATTCAGAATCGCGATTAAAACTAGGCGAACTGAGATCTGAACGGCTGGATGAGGAGGACATTGGACTTTCAGGTCTTTCATCTTCATCTTCTTCTTTGGAAGACAATTGCTGTATCATACCAGCTGGATATTGTAATTTGCTCGGTGGATGATATACTAAAGCAGGATCTAAATTTGAAGACATTGTTTGAGGAACATTATGGGGGCGATTGTGGGAGCCAAAAACGTCATGCAAACTAGGAGAAAGGTCTGATGAAACCATTTCCGATACAAAATCACTAAGCGAGGAATACGATGAGCTGGAACTGTCTGCAGCTTCCGAATCGGAACCGCTTTCATCGGTAGCGACATTTTCCAATTGCTTGAGAGAACGTAATGCACCATTTAAAGAACTACCATCGTCCCATACCGAGAAACGGATCGGTGTTAACGCGTGAGCAAACCATTTCGGTTTATCGCCGACTTGCAAGGGATCCATGACACCAGTTTGTACTCTTAAAAAGGCCACGTTGGTCGGTGTGAGAGACCACTCGGCCAAAAATTCGACCGCCTGAGTTTTAGCAAATTGGTTTAGGAACTGTGTAGAGCGAGGCCGCGATCTCAGGAAACTATTGATCTGAAAGGCTACCACCGGACGGGGATATAAACGCAAGGTGCGTGTATGCTCGGCAAAATTAGCTAACGTGTTTTGCGAATTAAAGAATCGAACCTTAAAACGATTCATAAAAGTGAATTTTTAAAAGATAAATGACTCCTATCCGGGTCGGACTAATTTTATTTACCATTGCTACCCGTGTGGCCACATCTACGGAATCAATATCAGTACCATAAATAAAAGGATTTAAGGCAGGCGAGCCCATGGGGCTCGGTTGACGAGATAATGCTCCCTGTGTTGATATAGAATTCCTTTGGCTAACCTGAGCTGAATGCGAAGGTGATTGCAAAGGTAAACGAGCTTGAGATACTCTGAAATAATTATTAATTCCACTTATAGACATATATATGTATATACATATGCGAAATATTTCACATTTCATTAGAGAACTTACCCCAAAATTGTCGGTTCGATAAGGCTATCACGCACTGAAGGCATTAATTGCTGCGTAGATACGGCCTGTGTATTAGCAGTCATTGAGCTTAAAGCCTGCGATGTTTATGTAAAAACGAATGAAATTTCAACGTAAATAATTTAAAGTAAAATTTAATAAAATAAGTAAATAACTATGAAAGGATACTTATTCCATGATTTATATTAACGATGATAAGAGAGAGAGAGAGAGAGAGTTTAAGTCTCTTTTAATAAAGTATACCGGGATAAAATGTTATTTACTTAAGGGATATTAATGTAATAGTAACAGTCATGAAAGATTCTCTGTTCATTGTAAATGCTTTTTGTTTGTGTTAATATTTTATGACTGTTAACGCAAATGTGTTAAAATGTGACGATAAGAGAAGGTAGCTGAGAAAAATGAATGGGCAGCATGGCATGCACAGAAAGGAGTTTTAAAGGGAAAATTTAATAAATTTTTATATTAATTGATAAAGCAAATACGATAAATAATTAAACTTAAAATTGAAAAATGAAAAGTTTTATAGTCTTCGTTAAGATTGTTTATAATGTGAACAGTAAACGGGCACGAATCGATCAATAATTAGCTAAATATTTTTCAATATGTGTATACGTCTTTTTTCTTTTTTTTTTTTGGGTCTTCCTACCCCATATATGTTGTTGAAGTCGGTCGTGTGAGCGTGAATAGATTGATCTTGGTCGCTAGGCGTGCTTAAATTACATGCAGCGCGTATACATGTGTAGTTGTAAATATAGAAAGCTACAAAGCAGTTTTTTTTTTTTTTTTTGGATAATTGGATGGAGATGGACTAAGCCAATAGATTTGTGGCTTATATGTTCAGATAATAAAATGTCGTAATAAATTTTTCGATTTTTGCAAAGCAGTTCAGTTGATTACTATCACGATGATGATTCTGATAGCTTATCTAAAACGCTAGTAGTAGTAGTGTCAATTATGACGTGCATCAAGTAAGCTTGCAATAATCAGGTAAATCGTTCTCTTTCCCTCTATCTTTTTCTCGCCCCACCCCCCACCGCTCCCGTCGGTCACTCAATTCTCTCTCTGTCCATCTGTCTACTTTTTTTGCTCTCTTCCTCTTGTTCAATATTTCGGATGTACGCGCTACTATCACCAGCGTATAAAAGATGACGTGTGTGTGCCTGTGTGCGACGAATCACAAATTTCTTACATGGCGTAGAGTAGAATTTATGCCTCGAACTGTTAAAAAAACTAAAGATAAAAAATCAGATCGCAATAAATATAACTAAAAAAAAAAAAATGTTCTAATATTTGAATAGCATGCACAAGAAAAGAAGCAAGCAAGCGTAAACTATTACGAAAAAAAAAGGAAAGAGAAATGAATAAATAAATTAGAAATGAAAGATATTTACACCAAGTCCAGCTTCATCCATGAGTTGCATAGCCTGTGTATTTTTGACAAGAGTCAACGACAATTGTGAATTTTCAATGAGAGAAAATAAAAAATTTCATAAGAGTAGAGCGCATAAATGAAATTTTTTGAAGTCGAACAAAGAAAATTCGAAATTATAAGAAAATAGAAGAAAAAAAAAAAATCTAAGATTTTCGTTAAGTGTAGCAATCAAAGTTGAATTGAGACTGTAAGTGAATAGTAAGACTGCTCTGAGAAAGAAAATTTATTTTTATAAGAATTGAAAAATGTTTCAAGTTATTGTTTCGTGTTTCGTGTACCCTACACCACTCTTGATATGTTCCATTAAATTTGTACGAATATGTACAATATTTAAAAGGACTTGAGATACACTCATTCCTTGTTGGACTGATCGATTTCGTATTAGTTTTTCGATTCGATTTAAACGTATCTGTCCATCTATCCCATTTTATTTTCTCATGTTCAATCGACAGACTCACACGTTTTTTTACTTAAGTACGAACGCTATTGAAAATAATTCCGATCGGATCAGTTTTTTGAAAAGTAATTATATGAAAAAATTTAGAACGGTGTAGGGTATTCAATATTGGGCCGTGACCCATTATAGTGTTTCTAATTGTTTTGGCTTTGTTTTTGTTTATTGATAATTTAAATGTTAAATTAACATGATTTGTAGAAATGTTCACAGTGTTAGGCGAATAATTTTTCTTGTTAGTATTATATTAGTATTATATTTGTTTCATAAACTCACTATGGTTTTCATTTCATTTTTGTTCTTAAATAACTTGTTTTTCATTTGGTAAAAGTTCCAAATCAGTTTACACCCTATTTCTCTACTTTAAAACAAATGTTTTTTCAATCAATTTCTGTAATAATTTATCTTTTAAATGATGTAATAAATTGTAGCCTATCAAGAGGGGCAAACAACTTTTGCCGCATTATAGCCTTCGGTCATAAAGCTAAAGCATTTAATTCTTGTACGGAAAATATATCTTAAATGAAATACTATTCCAACCGGTAAAATCAAGTTTAATGAAATTTTTTTTTTTTTAAAAGGGGCGAAAGTGAAGTCATAAAGGAGATAACAACACATAAATGGTTATCCCATCTTGACAGAATTTGCTCAACAGCTTGAAATATCATCAATTGGCGGGATCAAGAAACAAGAAAAGTGAGCCTGCAAGTATTTAAGAGTAACGGAGACTCTTTACAGCGCGACTGTCACTTGAATGAAAAGAGAATAGGGAAGCGACAAATATGGTTGAACCGATCACTCGCTTGTAAAATTATTCAGCGTCCATAGCGTCTCCATCCTAATAATAATTTTTTTTTTTTTTAATAATTTTTTATCGAAAAATTTATTGAAAGCTGAGAGCAGTTTGCAAACAGAAAACATTTGCACAGAATAGAGACCACTCAACAATGCTCGCTAACCAATCTTATAAATAAAATTTGAAAAACTTTCGAAATTCTTTAATAAGTTGTGAAATGATATCAGGTTCAGTGCTAGATGCATACTCGTCTCTTCATTAAAACTCACAAGAAGACATTTGCTATGACGCTTCTTTAAGATCTTATCGATATATCGCAGAGATCCACTTATCTTCTATTTAAATATATTGTTGTGCATTAAATTGAATTGAAGGACAGTGAGATCACGTTTCAATGGCAAACATTTTAAATAAAATTGTTTTTTGGGCATCTCTTAATTGTCATCCAAATTGTTGTTTTACATCAAATTTGGATATTTTCTTACCTGTTTCAAATGATTTTTTAATATTGTGCCTTCGGGTTCTGGTAAAGCTGGGATTTCGTCGTAACCTCCTGAAGGTGGGGTTAATTTGGTAGAATCCAAATCTATAACCCAAATATCATCCGGTAATCTATAAAGCAATTAATTAATAAAATCCATTTCATTTTCGAAGATCTTCAAACGAGAACTAAATACCTGAAGTTCTTTTTATAAAGCAAAAATGTTGCGGGTACACCTATAACAAATGGTGTGGGAGCTAAAAGCAATTGTTCGGCGCAACTTAAACATGTTGGTAACAATGGTATGACAGGAAACATGTACTCCAATGGATACAGCATAGTAACAAAAGCCATTACCGACATGGATAGCGCATTATAATCGCGAGACTGAAATAGTACCTTATTCTCTAGCATAATTAATGTCCAAACTTTTAAACAGGTATCGACACCCAACAATTCCAAAGGCAAATGTAAAGGAAAATCAACCAACGAGAAGCGAGTATGATCAGGTAAAGCAAAGAGCAAAGGTTCATGTACAGTGGGTGATAAAACTTCAACCTGAATGAGTAACAGACACTTAAACTAAGTAACTAAATATGAAAATCGCCAAATAAATTTTAATTAATTACCTCTATTCTTGTCGATCCCGGCACTGGCACTGGCGTTGACAACAAACGTAATATCCAGGTTTCAATTTCTCTTACATCATGCAATACGATGGAAGAAGTTGTCTCAGTTGCTTGCCCGGCCAATACCGTCCATACATTATCACGTGTGAATTTCTGCGAAGAACCCACTCGCTTCGGTGAAGATGATTCGTTACAGGCGTCAATTAGTTTCTTCAGAATAAATAAACATTCGCGAAAAGTCGTGAAAAAGGGATGATGCGATATGATACATAAGGAGGTTAAAGATTGATTTCTCAGTTTCATGCGTTTGCGTGAAGCACGCGGCGATGGTGAATGACTGCCACCTGATTCTGAATCGCCCGACGGAGCCATTAAGCCTAATGTTGGAGCTGACTGCATATAGCCTTGATGTACCTTATGCTGCACATGATGCGGAGTATCCGAATCTCGTCTTGAAGTTAATTCACGATCCGAATCACTGGGCGCCACATTACTTCTATAGTCGCTAGAAGAATTTAGAAGACCGTAACTATTAAAAGAATTATACTGAGCTTTTGCATGACAAATTGTGCATTGATGTTCATAATCGAAAAAGAAGAAGCAATTAAAGGAAATAACTTTAACTACTTGCCTACTGAACGCTGAATCGGAACTTTTTTCTATACTTTTACGCCACGATTCTCTACGAAATGCCGAATTACGTCTACCTCGTGCAGTCTGTGTACTTATCATCGGGGTGCTAATTTTTTCATTACCAGGAGCGAACCGTTCAATAGGTCGATAAAAATTTACACAAATACCATAGCGCGTTTTCCCCGAATCTTTATCGGTCAAAGCGAAGACAAATGAGCTCATGTCACGTATAGCAGAACCGGTACGTCTAGGTCCGACACTAATGCAACCTTCTGGTTGACAAAAGTACACCATATCCAAAGGTAATGGAAAATCAACATGATTTGAGGGTGGATACCGTCGTAAAAGCTCAGGAATCTTAAAGTAAAATATAATAAAAAAGACATTTTTTTTTTTTTTTTTTTTTTTTTTTTTTTTTACTTTAATAAGAACACGAAAATTTAAGTTTAAGTTACCTGTACTGGTGGTGTTTTATTACCCGTTAAGCCTTTGGGAAGACAGGGCGCATTTCTAGTACCCACTATCGCCAAATAATCAACCAATCGTGGGCACAAAGAAAGCTTTTGTTGTTCAGCCATAATTATTTAAATAAAGAGCACTCACAGACAGGCGTCTGTCTATTAACTACGTATAAACTTGTACAATTCTTCAAAGCACTTTGCGTGATGGATGAATGGATGGACAATGAAACTTAAAGTATGTACACATTTAAGTAGATGCGGTCTTCTTAATTCATTGCTGTATTGGTTGTTAAGTAAAGCTGCGGACAGAAAATCAATTCAACACAATTAATAATAATGTTAAGCATAAATGTCTGCATATTATGTTTGTGTGAGTAATAGTGTGTTAAAAAAGGAGAGGAGAAAATGAAAACAAAAACCAATTTATGTTATTTACTACTCTTCTCATTGAACGACGATGATGATGATGATGATGATGATGATGATGATGATGTTGGTGGTCTGTTCTCTCCAGGGAGTCAATTAAATGATTATTCATTTTGTTCATTTACTTTTTTATTTATTTATTTATTTATTTATTTTTTTTTAATTTATGTCTTTAGTAAGTAAGGTATACGATGCATAAGTATGTTCTTTAATGTGTATGTCCTTATGTGTAAGGTGGTGGTAATAAGGTCTCATTTATCTCAATGCCATAGAGAATAACTCTAATAATATTTCATATTTACATATATTTTTTATGCGAGTAAATTGAATATTCCTAACCCGCTCTGTCTTTTTCTCTCTCTCTCTTTCGCTCTATCTTCGTTCGAAAGTAATTCTGTTCAATTTAAAAACAAAATTGCAAAGTAAAATAAATTAAAAATATACATAAAATAAAGGTCGAAGCAAAATATCGTGGCGTTTGCTATCAAAATTCAGAAAGACATCTCCTCGTCAGTCCACATCTTTTGCCATTTTTGGGCCGAAAAACTGAATCAATTCATTTTCAGAAGTCTCTTTTTAAAGTCATGCCTGCAATATTTAGAGAGTTCCGCGACGAGCAAAACAAATGGTGGCGAGACGGAGCTACGTCCGGGCGAAATGGCGGATACATCGAAACTTTCTCAATATTAGCGGAATCACTAATTATTTGTATGGCGGAGCATTATTATCTCGATTGTGTATTTTAATCATTAGTCAGATTCGAGCATAAAACAGTACGCGATATTTCTTCAATCGCATCAAAGAGAGAGAGAGAGAGAGAGAGACAGAGAGAGAGAGAGAGAGAGAGAGACAGAGAGAATTAGTGATTTCTTTTTTTTTTTATGTTCAAATTTGCCCCAAAAAACGCATCAGCTGCGGACCACCACTTCTTTCAAAAATGTTTTTTTGTTATTTTCCAAAAGTATCTTTCTCTGTATACCTAACTATATGCTTAATAACCTTCCGTAGTATTGCTTTTATTTTATCATCTTCCTTTTCGTATTAAAAGAATTGCTAAAACGCAACCTTTTATCCGCATCCATAGTCCAGCAGGCAAAGGATTGTGCCTAACAACTCGATGGTCGCGAATTCAAATCTTAAGTGCGGTAGTTAGACTTTCCCAAAATTCCTTTGGTTATAACAAGGATGATAGTCAACATTCCTCGATTCAGTTCTTTTTTTTGTAGGATTGAATGTTGGATTAAAATCAAACTTCATCAAAATATCGCAAAAATTGCCACCTGTTGATTCGACACCAAACAACATGTACAGATATTAGAGAGAGAGAGAAAGAGAGAGTGAGAGTGAGAGTGAGAGAAAGAAAGAGATAGACATAAGGTAAAATCTATTTAAAATCCTTCCAGATGTTTTGTACATCAACATCAATTTAATATACCCCGTGCCAGAAGTGATATAGAGTATAATGGCCAAAAAATTGTGTTGTTTTTTTTTTTTTAACAAAACTCATTACATACTTAAGGATCAAACGTACAACCTTGCATTTTTAGGTGGAAGTTAATGCACGTTTGCTTTATGTATTGTAAGCGAAAAAATCCTTGAAAACTGTTTCTTATACAAGCGATAATCAAGTGAGAAACCAAAAGAAAAGAGTAGAGCGTTGTGTTAATTCACTATAAAAGATGAAATAATATGCCAACCTAAAGAATTGTTTTTTCAGTTTGCACTAAAATTTTTTTTACCCATGAGCAATTTATTCGAAATCAGATCAACCAACTACTGGCTGTATGCAAACAATTCAATTCTCTTCTCTTTTTTTTTTTTTTTTTGCCTCCTTTTTTGCGAGTAGATAGATAAAGAAAAGTAAGACACAGTCACAGTGATAGTCACACACACATACACCCACAAATAAAATTTTTATATATGTATGTATGTATTTAAGATATAGTATAAAAAAATAACCAATTCCAGTGACCTTGTACTTAAACGAAAAAAAAAAAACCACAAAAAAAAAAGAAAAAAAAATAGAAAAAAATTTAAAACAAAGTAATGTAGAACAAGCACATGATCTGTCGTCTCTATAGCAAGAATATAAAGATATATACATAAAAAAAAAAAATAAAAAAAATGAAAAATTATAAAAATACAATTGATAGACATTGCAAAACTTTAATGACTAATGTAACTAATTTTTTGTTTTTCTTTACAATCGATATTAAGTTTAACGAAATTTAGTTTATTTTCAATTTTTCATCGCATCGCCCGAATATATCAGATTAAAGAATAAAAACTTAATTTAGTTGCTAGTCTCCTAAAATTTCTTATTTGATATAATGTAAAATTTATAAAAAGTTCAATAAACTCTTTCCTTGGTCTCCCTATGTCTTGTTAAACTAAATGAATTGCTATTTACTAAGAATACTAAGGCTACACCTATATCTCTGTATTTAAACATAAGACCAAACATATGTGCACCACTTGGTATATATTTGTATGTAAACTATTTATTACATATATAATCATGTATGTGCATGTGTGTGTGTGTGTGTGTGTGAATGCCTTCATATAAAACAATCTTACGGATGCCTACTCACCAAGTCATACAAACGGCATAATTAAAAAGAGGAAAAACAAAACAGAGCTCATGCTTGTATCATGCTTCGCATCGTGGATAATATTCTTTAAAAACTTTCACATTAAATTTCCGCAAATGTTTTAATGTTTACATAATTTTATGCATATATTTGCCGCTTAGTATGAATGTCTCCGTCTTTCCGTTCTCGTTTCGCACATTTAGTCTGCAGCGAGCATAGAGACATACGTTGAATTACTTTAAATGCCGGGAGTTTTCAGACAAATACCATCAAACGAAAAGAAAACAAAAAAAAAAAAAACAAACTGACTACAAGTACTTTTGACTGCGCAAAGTTATATGGGTTTCACCTGATTTGTTCCGCATTATTATAAAATAATACAAAAAGTGGAACATACAGAGTTATGTTCAAGTCGAGCTTTGGATACAGTTCGCCTTCATTAAACATATATAAAATTTCTGCGCTTAGGACACCTTTCCGTAGATCAACTTTTCGTTAAGCGTCTCTATTCGCTTTATGCAAGTTTGTCGATTGTGTTTTAACTTGTTTGAGATAATCAATCTATCAAAAATGATGAAAAATTGCATGGATGGATGGAGAAATATCTCTTCCGCTTAAAATCTCCTTTAACTTATTGTAATGAATGCATCCTCAAGTTTCCCTTAGCTTCGTTATGCTAAATAGCTTAGTTGATCATATCTTGCCATTACGCGTGGACTCCGCGTTATACAAGTAATGCTAAGAGAACATAGTTATGTAAGAACATAGTTATGTAATACTATGATTACAGTAGTACATTCGCGTAAAGTTTATAACATACTTTTCTGCTTATCACACATAGAACAACAAACTCAATTTCATTCCCGTACCCTCTGCTTGCGCCATCATAAACACGAAATACTATTATTTTACGAAGATTGAAAAAAAAAAATGTCGATATCATTTTTATAAAAGTCTTCTTCTTTTTTTTTTTTTTTTTGCATAATTATCCGTTAATAATTATAATGAAAATATTTTTTAAAAAAATGTTCGAATCCATAACTTGTTATGGAAATAAGTGAATACCGGTAACCGCGTTAGCTTTATTGAAATGAAAATTGTTTTCTCATCTAGAAATCAACTTAATCTACAATAAATTTCCTTAACCTCTTACCAGGATAATTCATATTTTCTTTATACTCAATCTGAAGGGAATTAATTCAGTTATCATAGACAAAGCAATTGACTGATAACAGATACCAAACACAAACACAGCATTTCATTGATTTAAAAAGTTCGGCTGCGATTAATCTAACTAATAAAAAAATTTTTAGAAAAGTTCACGTCTAGCGACTAATAATGCAGCATAATAGCAAGCTGGTGCATTATTAATAGTACATTAACATTCAATGGAAGCGAAGCTGTTGTTACATTAAATCGAATATAATTTAACGATCAATTAAAAAATGTTCTGCTTATATGAGTAGGAAGAAATGTCCCGGAAATTTAATCGCAATTGCTTTAAATTGAGAAACTGGAGATTTGATCGTACCAGTCTGGTAATAAATATCGCCCGGACATATAGGTCTTCCAGGTTAAAAAGAAAACAGAAGAAAAATATCAGAACACACGATGCTCCTCCTTTTGAGAAGAAATAGAAGCGACGCGAGTCTGACTATAGTGCGAAACTAATTCTTTTCCAGAGACAAATCGCACATTTACGGACGACTTACATGCTGTCAGAAAACTGCGAACTTTAACAGATCGCCTCAATTAAGTGATTTTGAGGCTCGCGAATAATTTCTTCTTCTCCTCATCTAAATGCAGTGAGGTGCAATTGCATGGTGACAAGTAAATTACGTGAAAAAAGTTTATCGATACCGAAAGACACTTTGTTACGAAGACGGAGTCATGAAAACTGATTTTCGTCGTTCATCAGGGCTTGTTTTATAATTTTTGTTTGTTACTTTCATAATGCCAGCACGCACGAATCAACGTGTTAAGCACGCGTCATCAACTTAATAATAATTTGAAAATATATTTAATTTGACGCGGGAACCGTAAAGAAAAATCGCATTTTTTCGCGGTTAAATTATTCAGTTATAGCTTGAAAAAGCACTCAAATAAAAAAAAAAATAAATAAAAATTAAAAAAAAAAAAAAAAAAAAAAAAAAAAAAACAATGAATTTCTTATATGTTAAAATAAATTAAGATAAACGGCCATATTTACATTCATCACAAGCACATAGTCAATTTAGCAAAGGCAGAACACAAAGAAAGAATGAAAAAAGCCAAAAAAAGAA